CAGAAGAGAAGCAGTTACCCCCGATCTGGGCAGGAGCATGGGCAGGTGTGCAGCACATCTGCATGATGCCGTGAGAAACCTTGTTGGAGGCAGGTTGTCCGCTCACCACTGTACATCCGCAGCCAGCTTTCCGCTTATCCCTGGAAGGATTGAGGCTCTTTCTCTAGAGCTGGAAAGCCTGTGCACTCCCTCAGTGCACCAGTCTGTGTCCCCTGCACGTGCACGAGATGGTCACGGAGGGGACAGGACCTCCCAGTCGGAGTAGGAGAGAGCTGTTGGGTGCCAGCGGAAGAACTTACAATTCTGTTCATGCCCCTCTTCTCTCCTGCTTGAGACAGCCTTTTAGATCTTAGACTAATTTATTCCCATAGAAACTGGATTTTCATTAAAGTGTAATATCTCTCCTCTCAAATATGCGTTGATGCATTTTATCTGGGCTTTGTTTATTGCTTTGCATTATTGGTCATTTGTCATTTCCTTTCTAATAAACTCTGGATTGCTGCAAAATGAAACTATTTTTTTTTTTCCAAAAGAAAAGGCAATCCAGCACAATAATCTTGCTCGTGGTTCCTTTCGAAGGGTTGGATGTCTTCTTGAACACAGTATGCATAGTAATGTCAGGCTGCTGAAGTCCTTTCTCACTGGGAAAAATGGAGTTATAGGGGCTCTTCCTGCCTCCAAGAAACACCCTCTTCCTCTGTAGCCATCATCCCTTTCACTGCAGTAAATTAGATGCAACACTCACAAGGGCCCCTTGTCTGCAGCTCCTTTGTCAGCCGGTTCTAGAGGTGCGGTTCTCAACCCTGCCGGGTCTCTGATGCACCAAGGGCAGAGACCCTGTCCTAGTCCCCTCCTTTGCTTTCTCTTAGGTAGCGTGCAGAGGAGAGGCTCCAGGCCCCTTCCCAAGTCTCTCTTGCAACCCCCAGGCTGATCAGGGGGGTTCTGGTTAGGAGCTGTGGAGGGAAGCCGCACTCTTGCCCCAAGCCACCACGCTCAGATGTCCCCCAGACGATGCCTAGGGGCACTCCAGGTGGTGCCGGTCTTTGCTTGAAGCTGCCCCTTGTTGGGAATAAGCAATTTCAAGGTGAGGCTGGGAAGAAAAGAAATGCCAAAAAGGGAACCAAAATCTCACCTGCTGCTGGTGCCATGTTAGTATTGCCATTCTAAACAAAGCCCATGGTGCGTCTTTGGCCGGTACGTTTACAACGGAGGGAATTTCTAGTGCTTGCCGCAGAGGACCTTTCCGGTGTCATTAAATGAGCTTTAGCTTATACGACTAGGCAAAAATGCCCACGTGGGCTTCGTGGGGCATCGCTTTATCTTGGAGTGCTCCCTTTGGCACTGTCTGTACTTGGCCTGCCTCAGTATCCCTTCAGTGACTATCATCCTGGGCAGAAACTACTGGCGGCACTGGAGCCTGCAGGATCCACACTGGGCTCCACGGGCTCTTTGCTCTGAGGAGGTTTGCTGGGACGGCAGCCCTGCTCGGCCTCTGAGTTCAGGTGCAGTCCGTCCTAGCAAAGAAGTACTTTGGCTGCTTTGCTTGTTCTGCTGAGGGCGCTGGTGTAAGTCCTAAGAGCCAGAGTCCTGCATCTTCACCAGGGCTTTCGCTGGCATAAAAATGTCTCCAAGTATCACGAGTCTGAGCAGCATTACCGTACAGGCAAAAATTCCTAATGTAGACCTGTGCACGCCTGAAGGACTTCTGGCCCTTTTGCGGGACCGCTCCTGCCAGCGAGGCTGATTATGCAGCTCTTACTTTAAATGACTACTTAGTCCTGTTGCACCGTAGAGCTTCTCAGCGTGGGCAGCCCCATTCAGCGGGGCACAGATCTAGCAGCTAGATGGGTCTGGGTGCACCTTCCTTCAGGGTCACAGATTGAAGGATGTGTGTAAACGAGATGAGCCAGCACAGGCGTACCGGGGCTGCCACCTGTGATGTTCTGGTACAGGAAACTAAAAACAACCCTCCTCTTCCAGCAAATGCTGCTGCATTCATCACCTGCACATCTCAGAGACTCAGAACTAAAAGATGTAGACCTCTTGTCCACTCTAGTCACTGAAAGGAAGATTTTAATAGTGTTTTTCATTTTGTGCCTTGGCAAAAGCCGCGTTTTATTGTTATACCTTGTTCTGAAGTGCTATGTTTTTCAGCTGAAAGACACTATAGAAAATAAGCTGTATTGTAGTTAAACAGGAAGTCACAGGAATGGCTGTGAGAGTAAAGTGGGTTCATAGCGGTGACTGCGGTGCTGTATGACAACGCGGTGACCAACCATTTAAATGCACATGCCTCTTTAAGAACTTTGCCTGCCTGAGTCTGGAGTCTAAAACGAAATCAGAATAAAGGACACCAACTGAAGGGAATGGGAAGGGGAAGGGATTGCGCATGAGGCGAAGATTTAGGTTAGGAAAATGATCCGGTCTGTGAATCACATGGCTCCATGACTTCTTCCCGCTCACTGCCAGCAGGCAAACGGGGTTGCACATGCTGGGGGATTTCTGGTTCCAGCTGGAGTCCTTAACTTGGGGTGTGACATTGATGCCACGGACTAATGAGAGTGTTAATGTGTTAAAGATTCCAGAAGAGCACGACTTGGAGAGCCAGATCCGCAAGGAGAGAGAGTGGCGGTTTCTCCGCAACGCCCGTGTCAGGAAGCAAGCGCAGAAGATCATCCAGAAAGGTGAGCGCTCTGCCTTCTAGGCAGCTTCTCCTGTCCAGCACCTCGAGCACTGGAACCTGTGTGGGCTCAGAGAGGGACTCCACGCTCTCCTGTGATACTCTTAATGAATAATAAACAGCAAGGCACTGTCAGGCCACGCGTTTAGCAAGTCAGTGGACGCTGTCACAGGTGTTGGTGGAAGGAATGTGAAAGATTTTCCTTGGGGGGGCTTGCCTTTCTGCTTAGAGGGCCCCATTTCTGCTCAAGGGAGAGACCTGCTTGTGATTGCTCTAGACATTTCTCCTTCAACTTTGACCATCTCCATGCAGTTTTATCATCCAGGCAGTGCAGTGAGGCAAGCCTCGCTGGCCCAGCCCCAGCCGGATGCCAATTCACGCAACCTGTGCAGCCCACAAGGGAGGAGGAGGAGTAAGAGAGCCGATGGTTTTGAGGGAGCAGCAGACAACCAGCCATAAGATCATGTTTCCCCACTCGTGGGAAGGTTTGCAAAGTTCGGTGCACGAGCACACTCCAAAGCTTTGGGTCTGCTGGCCAGCAGCTGAGCTTTTCAGCTGCTCAGCCAATCGGGGATGGCACGTCTATGAGTGCCAAAGCATCCAGCAGAAAATCAATAATTCAGAGGCCCTTAGCAGATGCTATTGATTTACCATTTTGGCTTTTCCACCTTGTCCTGTAAAGTTCTGATGGATATTGTAGGTTACGTTTTCAAAGGGCTAGAAGACGGGGCACGACGGGATACACATCGGCACTCCCACCTGTCCGAAAGGACACAGCCAGCGTCTGAGCCGTGTCAGAGGCCGTTAGGCTTGCCAGCCATGCCAGATCAGCTTGTTTTGCAGAGTTGAGTGATGTGTCCTCCTCCTCCTGTTCAGCAAGTCTCTAAATGACTCCAGCGTTCCCCCGCTCCACTGAGCTCCATAAATGATTGTTTACTCCTCATATCCCGTTACATTTCTTTAGCACTTTTATGTACAGTCTCATTTACACTTACAGCTTTCCTTCTAATATGCCTCGGGTTCATGTTTCATTAGCATGGATATTCAGTGCTCTGCTGAAAGCTAATCTTGCTTATTTATAACTCTTTATGCATTTACAAGGCAGCAGCCAGGCTGGGTTTTTTTCTTTAATAGAGGAATGCATTCAAATTCATCAGAGTAGCCAGTGAGTAGTAGGGATTGAATCTGTGTTGCCGTACGCTGCTGTTCTCATGCTGTTGAGACTGCGGCGTTCAAGAAAAGCTCTCATCAGAAAGCAAGGAGGCTTGGGCGTTTTCCCTTTTGTGGCATGTTAAGACACCAGACGACTGGGGCTTGGTCTCTCACGTGCAGCTCCATCTCTGGAAGCCTGGCCAAATCAGGCTCCACAAGGGATGGCGTGGTGTCATCCCAGGGCCGAGTATCTAAACCAGGACTGTAACTAGGGACTGGGGCCAGGGGACTCTCTTGAATATGGATGGTGCAAAGGAGGGCAGGTTGCATGATTGCGCAGTGGAGCTAAAACTTTCTGCAGACGGGGTTATAGTTTGGCCACTTACTTTAAAAGTGAAACAGATTTATAAATAGATACCATGATCAGGATCCCAGTAAAGCTAAAGATGAAATGATCCGTCAAGTAAAGGAAGCTTATTACAGTAGGCCAGGTAAAATATTTGGGGTTGATCTGAAGTGAGACCATGTTTGTTTGTTTTTTAATTATTTTGTCAAAAATCTTCACGCTTCCTGTCCTCTTAGGCCAAGACGAGCGTTTTTCCGTTTTCCGTTTGGCCACCAAAAGGCCAGATCCATTATTTGTCCGGCGACAGCTTTGTCTGTGCCGCCTGCCAAGTCCCCTACCCAAGAGTCTGCATTTCTCTTGTGGCCTTTGATGGCAGTGGACACCTAAAGGCCAGTGGGATTTACCTGCTCGAATTGGCTAAAGATTTGGAGTCTTGCTTTCTTAATTATTTAGCTTTTCAGGACCGCAAGTGTTTCCATGGTGGCATCTAACACCTTACAACACTTGTAATCAAACTGAGGCGTCAGACTGGAGAATAGTCTTACGTTCTGCAACTCCGTCTGCGAAAACGCAACCTGTGTGACACGAGCATCGGACTTCACACACCCGAGCCCAGGGCATTTAAAACTTGACGTATGAAAAATCAGTTTGGGCTTTTGTGAACATTTCCCATGAGAATAAATACCATTGATAGACGAGATGCACTGACACCGTTCACGAGAATGAAGACATTGCTGATTTTATTGAGGCTTGCGGTCTTGGTATCCCTCATTATTGCGGTGTCAGAAAGGATACGCGCCTGTGGCTTGAGATGTGGGCTGAATGTACAGACACCCAGGTCACTAGCTAGCCTGCTTCCCGCTGACATCACTGTTTGGTGCAGAAAAGCTTTCATCAAATTTAGAGTTTGTAAGACGTGCCGGGCAGCAGTTGCAGGAGTGTCAGACAGCAAGAAGGACAGTGTCGCTCTCACCCTAACACAGGAAATGAGAATCCTGCGGGCTGGAGAGCGCTGACGGCTAAGCTCCAGCCTCACTTCTCACCTACCTGAAGACTATATGGCACTTCCCCCTCACCTTCCCCCAACTCCGGGTGAGATGGAGAAAGAAAAGCTTCAGCCCCAAATGATCAGTCTGGGGAAAGGATCGGGTTTTAGGTCTCTAGGCAGCATGACAAGAGCAACAGGTTCTGCTTCAGGGAGTGGTCACCTGAAACTCGTGTTTATTATGTAGTACCGTAAGTACGAGCAGAAACGTTGCTCCAGACAAACAGATAGGAGTCCCAGAGACTCCTGATCAGCAGTTGGTGGAGTTAGTTAAAGACGGTTTTCGAAGGCAGAGCATGACGGGCTTGGCTTGTGCCAGTTGAGAGTGAGGAGTGCTTGAAAGGCAGAACCAGGAAAATGGTAACGGGTGAACTTTAGAAGGACACGGATGGAGAAAGCCTGACCTGGGGTGTCCCCAGGAGGGCAAGGGTGATATCCTTCTAGCGTAGTTTCATTTCAGGGACCGAGTCTGGTTTTATTGCTGTTCCCCTCCGTTTCCCCCAGGTATTTCACGGCTAGACGATCAAATCTTCCTGAACAGGAATCCGGGTGTCCCCTCCGTGGTGAAGTTCCACCCCTTCACGCCGTGCATAGCAGTAGCTGACAAAGACAGCATCTGGTAAGAGCCTGTTTGGGATTTTCAAGGATTGGCTGCCATGTGGTGACCAGACATGTAAGGACTCTCCGCCAGGGCGATGTAGCACAAAGCACTACGCACCGTGTATTGGAGGCATTAGCTCTCATCTGCCTCCCCACCTGCACCCATCGTCATTCCCCTTCCGGCTCAGCCGGACAGGGCAGGCCTCCTTCCGGAGTCTGTTTGTATTGATGCAAGCACTGTCCGGAGCAACATGCAAACAGGGGGCCTGGAGGGTCTGAGCATGTTGCCCCTGTAGCATCTGAGCACAGAGGCCTCCTGTCCGTAGATGAGTGCAGCCTTCGGTGGTTTTCAAGTCTGTCTCTGTCCTGTATTAATCAAATAGAAGCTGCCCTCTTCTTGTGTTGGTAGGTGGAGAAGCCTCGTTACAACTAGATTTGCAGTGGGCACTTATAATAGTAATCTTATTACTTCCTCTGCAGAAGCTAGAGATGTTATGGAAAGTTATTAATAAAATGACACTGAACACTCTCAGGAGAAAACCATGTTTAATTTGTGTCCAGTGTGTATAATCTTCTGTACCACTGTAATGGGAAGAGCTGCTTTTTTAATGGCTTGTGCAGGGAGCCAAGATCTGACCTGGTCTTTTTCTCTCAGTTTTTGGGATTGGGAGAAAGGGGAGAAGCTGGACTATTTCCACAATGGGAACCCTCGCTACACCAGGATCACGGCGATGGAGTACCTGAATGGCCAAGACTGTTCTCTGCTCCTGACAGCCACAGGTGAGCCCAGCCCCTGTCACCAAAAGCCCTGGGACAGGAGGGAGGAGTCGTGCTCTGTGGGCTTAAGCTGTATGTAAGAAGCTCTGAGCCCTCTCCTCTCTCTCAAGGGTCTGGCTCCAGCACACTCCCGCTACCTTTGGTCCCCATGGGAGTTGCAGCCTGGACAGGGCATCTCTGGGCAGCTGTTCTTGTCCAGCACATGCAGACACTCTTAAATACAAAAATCACTTCTGTGGTTGTTTCTAGTTGAACACAAGATGCTATGAACACATCGTGAGATTCTCTTTTCAGTAGAAAGCAGGGTAAATTTGCACCTTATAGGCTAACCAAAGTAAATACAAGTATTTTGTGGGCTGAAGCTTGTGCTACACGCACATGCACATGCATGCACACCCCCCTACTTTGGTCAGTCTATAAGGTGCAAATCTACCTTGCCTTCTGCTTGACTTCAGACTAACACAGCTAACTACATCTCACTGTTTTTGGTCACTGTTACAGTTGGGTCATTACATAGCTTTGAGTCCTCACTTAACAGTAATAAATCATGTTACCATCTTCCTGCATAGGTGACCCAGTTTTTTAGCTGCAATTTAATGGGGTAAAAGGTTAGTGTTTATGACAGAGAAAAAGACTATGCTGCACATGTGGTGTCAATGGTCACAGGCTGCTACTAGCATAGGTTTCGTTATAGAGTGGACAGGGCCTTCGTATATATATTTTTAAATGAAACTTCTGAAATGGTTCTGAATTTTTCTGCAAATCCCTTGCTCATGCCTGATGGCAAACCTAAGAGGAACAGTACTGTCATCTGCCCCGTAACGTCCTGCAGGGGAGAACGAGGTGCTGCTTTTCCTATTCATCAGCTGTGAGTAGGACTTATTTCTAACAGGGCTCCGGTCTGAACCTGTCAGTCTACGGGTTTTCTAGTGCTTTTCAAACACAGCACTCAAGCGTTGCAGCTAAGGAATGAGGGAGTGGGGTTGTGAGGCCTCTAGGACATTTTTCTTACAAAATACAGCTTCTTAGCACTGAAGTTTCATTGTTGTGGAGCAAAATAAGACTCGATGCTTCTCAGAGGCTGGCTCTTGTTACAGCATCTCTCTCTGGTTATTTGGTAATTAAGAGTACTTTTGGTGTTCAGCATAGCTAGCAAAGAAGGTATCAGTGATCCAGAGAAAATGAATTGGTTTGAGGAGAAGAAACTACAGGTAATTCCAGGTGTTTGCTGATGGGAAGTGCAAGTGCAGTCCCCAGTGGTGTAAAACCGAGGTGGCACAGGCACATGGTTAGAGCGCAGAAGAAGCTTAACAAAAAGGAGGAGAGATTGCTGATAAAGTGGCCAGAAGCTCAGATGACACTTCCCATCTAAGAGTCTGCAGCCACAATGCCGGTGTCTTTCTCCTCACCAGCTGCTCTGGGTTACTGAGTGACGCCTGTCTCAGCCGTTGCGTTGCCTCTTGTTCTGTTTTCCATGCTCTTCGTCAAGATGACGGCGCCATCAGAGTGTGGAAGAACTTTGCCGAACTGGAGAAGAATCCCGAGATGGTGACGGCCTGGCAGGGCTTGTCGGACATGCTGCCGACCACGCGAGGTGGGTGTGTGCTGGATTCCCATCTGTGGGCAGAAATAACTTGCCACGGTGGGGCTTCTTCTAGGGATGGGTAAAGTGGAACAGGTTGCTCTGCTTCAGCCTTCAGTAACATCCTTGTTAACAGTCTCTGTGCCTTGTGGATGACCTCTTACCGAGTTGTGGTGAGGAGTTTCTCTTCTACTTGTTTTCCCCCAACTCTCCCATGAAAAAAATCCTCACGAGCTCTCCTGAATGAGCACAGCTCCAGCAGCCAGGCTGGGAGGGAGGGAGGGCAGTGCTGTAACAGGGTAATAGAGGGCACGCCGTGGCCTCTTTCTAATTGTGCTTCTGAGGAGAGACCTGTCCTACAAGGGTGTACTGAACACTTACCTACTCCGAACTGGTGGTTATTTCTCCCCCACTTTGGGTTTGATAAATAGCTCTCTTCTTTCTTCTCCTTGGATTGGCTGCTCACCCTTCGCACGGCTTTGCATGTAGCACCTGTGACTTCAGTTAGCTTGCGGTTCCTTGTTTAGCACTTCCTCCTGCCATTTACTCTGGGTCGAGCTGTGACGGAGGAACATGTCATCTAAATGGCATAAGTACAGGATGGGGTCGCAGGTGGGCTGACACTTCCGGGGTCCTTAAGGCGGACGAGGCGGATGATGTGAAAAGAGCACCTCCCCGTCCAGCCATGCCTCAGTGCTGAAACCAGGAGGCGGGGTGGAGGGACTGTGGATTCTGTTTTAGACTATGGAAGAGGGGAGATATTCTGTCTTTCCCGGCCTGGGAATGCATCAGTGCTCTGAGAGTGATTCTCCACTGCCTGAATTCTTCCAATCAAGACTGATTTACGGATCAGTAGTAAGAGGTGTGACGTGGGACTTGCCGGGGAAGTTCTCTCCCCAGTGCCCCGCAGGAAATCAGATTTTACAACCACCCAATGTGAATTGGGCCTTAAAGCATGACAGCTGTCATTTCTGAGCCTGCCCCGGCACTCCTCGGCTTGTACGTGCGCTGCCTCATCCAGGGCAGACCCGGGGCCTCTTCCTGAGCACCGCACAGCCTGCCGCTGGCATCGTAGCCAAAAACGAGTGTTTGTTGTCATTCAGCTCCACGTTGCACTATCGCACATGCGTGTAATGGATTGCAAACTGCTGGGAGTTAGCAGCATGCTGAGAGAACTGCAGTGGCTGCAACCTGCTTTTGGCAGGGTGCTCAATAAAAGCAGGAAGAAGCCAGTGGTTTGCTCTCAGCTGTTAAGTGTCTGGATCTGTGCTCCTCCTCCGTGCAGAGGAGGGCACCAAGCAGGCATCTTTCTAGCCCCGTTCAGTTAGTGTCTTTCTCTCTTGCCACCGTCGGGCTTTGTGGGAGGTGTTGATTAATCCCGTCTCTCTCTGGACTCAGGCTTTCACTTCCACCTCTCTGGTAACAGACTCCCCCAAACAACTGGCATCCAGAAATCCTCCAAGGCTCCCATTGTCTTCTGCTTCTCGCTGCATTATCTGCAGTACTCGGAGGAGATGCTAACACACGCAACCTGCGTAGTCCCATTGTGTCTCTCCCAGTACCCACCTGCATCTTAATCAGGACAGGGCATTTGCTGCCTGCCCCGCACCTCACTTTCCACTTTGCACAGACTTCAGTGCAGCAGTTTGACATCACGGAGCGGGTGATGCACTGAGGTAAGGGCTATTTAGCTGCAGGAGTCAGGTGGCTGTGCTGGGGAAGGCGGCGCTGCTGCGGCTTCTGTGTCCTTTTCCCCTGCGCCTCTCTTCACACCCTCTCCTTTCCACGTGGCCTTACCCCACCTAGATCTGGTATTCTTTGCCATTCACCTTGGGGAGTGATTAGACAGGATGCAGAAGAAGAGAAGCACAGATGTCTTTGTGGAGAGAAAAAAATAAATTCACTTACTTCAAAAGAGGAGAGCGAAATACATCCCCTTGGAAATGAGATTCTCGGCTGAAGTGCTGGCTTTTGTTGCAGAGACCATGGTTACAGCCCAGCACGCAGCCTTAAAACACCTGACGTTCCTTTGAAGCCATTGTGCTCACCAGTGCTTTGCACATTGCTTCCTCCTTTCTTTCTCTGCTGAGGATGTTTACATGGAGGCGGGCGCTTTGTTGGAGTCGAGCTGCTCCCCTTGTTAATTTATGGTTTTTCTCTCCCTCCCTCCCCACTCCCGGTGTCATCCCCGTCTCTGTGATTTCATAGACTTCTTGACAGCACCTGGGATGCTGGCTTCTGGGAATAAGCGTCAGACTGTTAAGAAACACATTGGCTCTCCACGTGGATTTTCTCATTGGGGAATAGCAGGCTGCGGTGGGGTAGGACTGACGCGCCAAATGCAGAATAGAGGGACAGGCTGCGTCCCACCGTTGTGAAAAACATCAGCAGGTTGTCTAAGAGTTGGGAGACCACGGCTGCCGCTCAGTACCTCTCATCACACTCCTTCACGTCTGTCAGCTTCTTGCCAGCCGGAGATGCTGGAACCTGTCCAGATTAAGGCTTCGTTTACTCCAGGAGGTTGTACCCGTTTAACTGAAATGGTTTAGGAAGCCATTTTGAGGCCATGTCTGCATGCGACATTCATCCTTAGACAAATCAGTTTAATACTGACAAGTCAAGAAGCACTGAATCCTTATACGGAGGCTCTCGTTCAGCAGTCAAGTGAGCTCTGTTGTCCATACCTTCATCAGCTTTTGAGAGTCAGTGTAGGAAAGGCCTGTGTTAAACTGGAGCAGACCTCTGCGATGGGGGCTCTTGAATCCCAGCGTAAGCTCTGCCAAACCAAAGCTATCTGACCAAGGGTTGCTCCAGTTTGGTTTCACACTTTGGATTAAAACAGTGCCAGTTTCTTTTGTGGACAAGCCCCAAGCCCCTGGCTGGAGAAGGCGGTAGAAGTCATGCTGTTAGAAGTTTAATGTTTTGAAGCCTGCAAAAATGAGATCTGCAAGCACAAAACTCTGCAGAGCTGAAGGAAACCTCTAAGAGCATTTTCTTGAGCAGCATTGGATTGGCATCAACTCAAATTGATACAAGTTTGGGGTCCCAGTGCAACGGGCTCTTTCTGAATGCGTCACCCCGCTGCTCGGCTCCATCTCTGGAGGCAAGAGATTATGTCAGCGCTTCCCCTGAGCGAAGTCGCACTTGCTACCCGGTCCTCCAAGACAAATGCACATGGGGGAATTGGGGAATGAACAAATAAGCAGAACCTCCAGTCTCCAATCTCAGCTCTTCTAAACCCCTCAGGCTGTCAAACGTGGAGGAGAAGGGAGACAGGATCAGCTGCCCTGGATCCTCCAGAGCCTATCTGCTCCTGTGTGACCTTCCAGCCTCCCCCCGCGCCTTGTCAACTGCATGAGTCTTCGTTACCTTCCTTTGTCCGGCTTGGGAAAGAGAACCAGTGTCATTTGCAAAAGAGGGTCTGGATCAGACCTTCCCGTCCCCAGACTAGCTAGATCTCTTCCTGAACACCTGGGCATTCGCATGACAAAAATAAGCTGGGGTCTCGGCATGAGCTTAAATGCAGCATGTCCCTGCAACAGTGCCGTTACCCTGCAATTTCTCTCACTCTCCAGGTTTGATGATGGCCTGAAACTACACCATTTCTACGGCTAATTCCCTACTTATGAGCTACTTAGATGGAGCATCTGTAAACCGTTCGCACACCCTGTCTGCTCATTAGCAGTCCATTGAAGGATGGGGCAGGAGAGCACATTATGCTGCCGTACAGCAGCACTAACTGCACAAAGTGCGAGCCTTTAATGACAAAATCTTGGTGTTCTGTGATATACACAGATGTTTGTGCCATGGGTCATTTAGACCTTCATTTGTCACTCCCCAGCGAGATGCATTTCACTTAGTCCAAAGAGCAGAAGCATAAAAAGGATCGAGAGAGTCTCCAGATTCGGGAAGAAGCTTACCAATCAAATTTGTGGTGTTGTCAGACAGACCGGCCTTTTATGTCCTACTTAGCAAGCCCCATTGTTAATGGCTTCCCAGGAAAAGGCTGCTGTGGCTCAAGCCGAAATGCCGCCTTTTCCCAGGGCAGAGGCATGTGCTCCACTTGGTGTTGCTGCTTCTCTCTCGTGTGTTCTTCCCTTTGCTTTTCTAATCCTTTTTTAAATATTTGTTTTGCTTTGGCTGACCAACTTACCCTTGGCATCAACCCCTTAATCCCTGTCTTCTCACAGGTCTGGCCCGAAGGGTTTCAATCTATCTTGACAGAAGTAAGCAGGGAGGTGAGTGCTTTCTTTCCTCTTACCTATGACCAGCCGGGTTGGGGAGGACTGCCTTGTCCCAGTCTCTCTTTGTTTTAATTTTGTCTGGTGTCCATGTGAATGTTCGCTGGGTCTCTTTGGTTCCTGGAAGGCTTTGCTGCTTCTGCCCATCCCATCCCTTGCCTGGTATACATGTCTGTAACGAGAGATGGAAAGTGCCATGAAAGGTGCCTGGTGCTGTATGGGCGCAGGGCAGGAGCTTATTCTAATGGGACTCGTTAAGATCATGTTCTCTGCAGTTTGGGGTCGTTTTGCAGTGAGGGGACACGCGGGTGGTCTATTGGGATGTATATAGGATCGTTCCAACCTGTGCTTGTATCAGAGAGTAGGAAGGGCAGTTTCCAAATGGCAGCAACATAAAGCCATCAAACCAATATGATCTTTATTGTCACTAATTTATCTTTCACACGGCTATCAAATCTGTATGGGGAAGTGAGTGGTCAGTGCATCTTTTATACCGGGCTCTGGCTAGAGGCTTATTCCTTTGGCTAATACACATCTGGTAACCTTTAGCCTTTATGGGAAAGGGTAGGTAAGTCTAGTCTGTGGCTGCAGGAGCAGGGCATGTGCTGCGTCTGTGGCACCGTTGGATTCGTACCTCCTTGGTTTCTGCTAAGGAGATGGATGGCTTGCTTGTCAGGGCACCTGTACGTGCGTGTGTATGTATGTGCATGTAAGCTGATACAGTCGGCTTGGGCTGTTCATCAATTATTAATATTCACTAGCTGATAAGGGCTTGACTGTGTCTGTAGTGATTAGCAGAACAAAGGTGATCGCATTGGGTTGTGTGATTCAGCGCTCTTTAATTAGGGGACTTGCTCTCCTGCTGGCTGTTCAGATACAAAGCGAGGGGATCAGACTTTGCCGAGTTGATGTGTTCCTATTAGCATCCAGGCTTTGCGTTTCCCTGGGAATTTGCCGGCAAATCAGAAAGGCTAAAATTAGAGAGACAGGGTTGAAAGGAATTCCCCATTCAATCAACTGGGCATCGGAGCAGTTTAAGGAAACACCAGACACTCCCGCGCAGGATCAATACTGATAATGCTAAGCAAGCACTGCCGTGTCCAGAGCACACAAATATGTGTGAATCAATAGAGACATTCGCCAGCGCTGAGGTCCCAGGCATTCTCCTAATGAAAAATGCAGCAGGGATTTTCCTCTCCCTGTCCCCTGTCGGCGAAGGAGTTCGCAAGAGCGTTCAAGTTTAACCATTTGTCACATGGCCAAAGCATCGGCTTCCAGAACGGACGCATCCGTTACCCTGCCAAAGCATCGACGTTCAGCTGGTTTCATGGAATTGCACTTATTTATTCATTCAGTTGCTACGCTGCCCTTTCTGACAAAGGCTCAGAGCAGCTTACAATAATTGGACAGAATAACTTATAAAACAGGAGCGTGCCTGTGGGCTTCCATATGAGGAGAGGCTAGGCCTATTCAGTTTAGAAGAGAGATGCTTGAGGGGGTACATGAGAAGGGCTCACGAAATACTAAATAGTGAAGAGAATGGGAATAGGAAGCTATTCTTTACTATCTCTCGCAATGCAAGAGCGAGGGGTCATAAAATGAAACTGGGAGGTGGTAAGTTTAAAACGAGCAAAAGGATGTTTTTTCCGCAGCGTGGCATTAGCATGGAAGTCGTGGCCCCAAGATGTTGTGAGAGCTGAGAGTTTAGGCAAATGCAGAAAGGGATTGGATGCAGTCTCGGAGGAAAGGGGCATCGGTAGCTATTGATCATGGGAGTTACGGGGATAGTCTCTTAATCAGGACTTCCTCGGTCTTAAATGCTGGATGCTGCAAGTGGGTGTGCAACAGGGAAAAAACCCTGGTTGTACCCAGTTCACTCCCTTTCACCATCTGCCGCATATCTGCCGCCGTGACACCGGGGACCGGGCAGGACGGACTACGGTCTGATCCAATAACGGCAGTTCTTACGTTCTCATACTACAGTGAATTCCCGAAGCGCGGCGTGCTGGCGATTTGCAGATTTCAGTTATTTGCATTCTTTCTCCTAGGACAAGCACGCGTGTGCTGTCTGCTCGGTTAAATTTCACCTCGTTCTGCCCGTAGCGGCTTTTGCCTTGTTCCAGTTACCGCAGAAGCTGACGTTAGAAAAAGATATGCAAAGATCAGTTAATCAGCTCACGCAAAGATGTCTGCTCACACCAGGCCATTTATCATAATGCTTCAAATTAAGAAACATTTTTGCAGTATGGCAAGCGCTCACATGTGGCTTTTTGCTGTTTTAAATTAATAAGCATGTTCCCCTTTTTAAGGTAAACGTTACATATTTCCTGTCATTAGCCCCTGTATCGCCCTAATTGGATCGCTCATGGAGAGGCTTGCAGAAAGAGCTGATTTTGCTGCGTGGGGTGCTCCTGGTGGTTAGGCGCTGGCATGTGGTCGCCTGTAACAGCGCAAGGAGCGTTTGAACAGCAGTTGACGTGATTTCCAATTTCCTCGCCAGCGAGCCTCGTAGGGCAGACAGAAACCCACGCCTGGAGGGGCTGGTGGTGCCGTGCCCCCCGTGGTGGCGATCGGGCCGGCTGTTTCTCGGGCGCAGGGGAGGGCCGGCTGTTTTTATCGTTCCCCGTGCTGCTTACCAGCGTAGTCTGCTTGCTTGCATCGTTGTGTTGGAAAGGAAGCCTGTGCAGTCGCGGGAATCTACAGCAGTCACAGGTGACCGCCCCGAGTCCCAGCATCACAGGCTGTTGGCGGCGAGGGAATGAACCCCGCGAGGAGCCGTGTACATGCGTGAAGACCCGGATGCCCTGTGCCGAGAGCGTGCTCCCTTGGGGAGGGAAGGGGAGAAGGCTGGCATGGAGAAACTTTCCTGTCTGCCTGCCCCCTCCCCGTCTCCGTTAGTTCTGCTATATAAATGCATGTGCTTTCTCCTGCCTCGCTGAGGTCTCTTCTGTTTAGACCACGCAGCAGACAACGACACGTGGTTCCAGCCCCATCCCTCCTTCCTGCGCTCCCCATGGTCCCTAAACAAAAACCTTGAAATCTCAGACCCTGCCAGAGCAGGAGCACAGTCTCCCGGGGCCTCGCTCTGCCTTTTAATAACGCTGACACTTACTGTGGCAGAAAGTGAGCAGGCTGGATCGGGAGGAGAGGGGGGCGGCAGCTGAGATGCTGTCATGATTTTCGAGCTCACACAGGTAGCGGAGGGGGATTCGGAAGGGGACGTGTGGACTGGGGTGTCCTGGCCGTGTGGTGGGAAAGCCTGCAGCAAAGGGGCTGCTTGTCCCAAAGTGGAGGGACCCGTTGGGGCCAGGTGCTGAGCTAAAAGCCAGAGGAGTCCAACAGGGAGAGAGGGAGGTGGAAGTGAATCCCAGCATCTCTCCAGGGCTGGTGTTGGCTCTTCTGGGGAGAGAGCGCTAGAGAGAAGCACTGTCAATAAGGTCAGGGCCTTTATGGAAATGCATTAATTAGAGGAGCTGAGCTCCAGGACCAGGGCTTTGGGCTCTTTGGAGGACGTTTCCAGAGGGCTCGTTTCCTTTCTCGCTGCCTGCCCTGGAAAGGGTGCCCAGCCTGGGAGCACATTTGCAGAGCGAGGGACCGCAGCCCTCCTGCTGCTGCCTGGAAATTGAGAGACACGCACCTCTGCT